ATATATTTGGTATATATCTAGGAGTAGAATTGCTGGGTCGAATGGTAACTCTGTGTAATATTTGGGACAGAGTTCAATTGTTTTCCAAGGTAGCTGCACCATTTTACAGTCCCACTAGCAGTGTATGATGGTCCCGATTTCTCCACATCTTCAAGAACATTTATTATCTGTGTTTTTGATTATAGTATTCTAGTGAGTATAAAGTGGCATGTTGGGTTTCTATTTGCATTTCCCTAATGCCTAATGATATGCTCATTGGGCATTTGTATATCTTCTTTGGAGAAATGACGCTATCAGTGTCAGTATTCTAATTTGGATACTGTACTATAATTTTACACAATGCTACCATTGAGTGAAACTGGATAAGTGTGCACAGGATCTCCCTATATTATTTATAAAAACTGTATGTGAATATAAAATTATTTCAAAATAAAAGGCTTAAAAACATACAAAAAACCTCCAGCATATCCTTTTATATTTATCTATAGAGTGATGTTTAAATAAGCTTATACTCATAATATATCTAGGCATCTTCCTTGTGATGAGTAGGAATTGACTTCATAAATAACAATAATGTTTAAAGCTCAGACACTTACTCATAAATTATGCATAAAATTAAATCAGCTCCACAGCTCTATGTGTGACTACTGCAGTCATTGAGTTGAGAGATCAGTATAATGTTTAGGGGAATTCCAGGTAGTGTAAAGACAGCCAAAAGTGAAGCCACAAATCTGACACTCAAAGTAACCCTGAAGACATGTTATACACAACATACATGCCTAATACTGACTTTAAATAATGAAGAATTCTCCCTAGCCAGTTTGGTTCAGTGGATAGAGCATCAGCCTACGGACTGAGGGTCCTGGGTTTGAGTTCAGTCAAGGGCACATGCCTGGGTTTCGGGCTTGATCCCCAGTAGGGGGCATGCAGGAGGCAGCCAATCAATGATTCTCTCTCATCATTGATGTTTCTATCTTTCTCTCTCTCCCTCTTTGAAATCAATAAAAATATATTTAAAAAAATAATGAAGAATTCAACAGAAATACAGAAAATTTAATATATATTATTTTGCCTTGAGTAAATAGGATCTAGATTATCAGAGATTTAATTTTATATTTTATTTTATACATTATTTATATTTTGTGCTTCTAAGGAAGTTGAGGTCAGCAAGATAAATTATGCTAATGGCTGTGTTATTGACTCTTAAAGTCATGTGGTAGGATCTCTGTCTTTATAATTCCACTAATTCAATATTCAGGCCCACAAAATGATTTCTATGTGATGATGTTCTATGAACATACTTTTATGGTTATTTTAGGGCTCTCTATGGTCAATGTTTACCAGTATAATATGCTATATTATGTGGTTAAATTCACAGAAGAGTTTATCACTTGTATTCTCAAATCTGCATACCCAATGGCAAAGCTAACTGTTCTGTGTGGTATGTGACTTGAACACTGACATTTTCACTCCTATTGACCCTGTATTAGCAGAAACTACATAATTTTAAAATTGGCTTCCCAAACTAAGTTGCATGTTTGCTAATGCCTTGGTTTCCTGCCCATTATCTTACTATTCAAGCTTGCAATCAAATCTTAGATTCTGTGTGCTGCTAAGAGCCTTCCTGGCCATTTGGGGTTCCATGTTACCTGCTCTGGAGTCCACTTTTTAAGCACATGCATAACCATTTTACCAGGTGTACCAGTTAATAATGCGGATTTTTTCAATAGATGGAGTTACACATATGTTGATATATATGTGATTTGATATGTATGCTATTTTGTTGTATTGAAAGCAAGCTTCAAAACTTCATATGTCAAATTTTGTGAAGGTGTTAACATCATATATATTTTTATGCTTAAAAATGTTGAATTTCGTGCCCCAAAAAGAGCATTTGTGGGAAGTTTTAATTCATTACTTTATTTTGAAGAAAAGTGCTGCTGAAAGTTATCGTGTACTTTGGGAAGCTTATGGTGAACATGTTCCATCTCAAGATACTTGTGAACGCTGGTTTAAACGCTTTAAAGGTGATGATTTCGATGTGAAAGACAAAGAACATCCAGGTCAACCAAAAAAGTTTGAAGACCAACAATTACAAGCATTATTGGATGAAGATGCATGTCAGACTCAAAAACAACTTGCAGAAAGATTAAACGTTGCTCAGCAAACAATTTCTGATCGTTTACAAGCAATGGGAAAGATTTTAAAGAAAGGAAAATGGGTGCCACATCAACTGAATGAAAGACAAATGGAAAACCGAAAAGTCATCAGTAAAATGTTGCTTCAATGGCATGAAAGAAAGTCTTTTTTGCATCAAATTGTGACTGGCGATGAAAAGTGGATTTATTTTGAGAATCCCAAACGCATAAAATCATGGGTTGATCCAGGTCAACCATCAACATCGACTGCAAGGCCAAATTGCTTTGGAAAGAAGACAATGCTCTGCCTTTGGTGGGATCAGGAAGGTGTGGTGTATTATGAGCTTCTAAAACCAGGTGAAACCATTAATACTGATCGCTACTGACAACAAATAATCAATTTGAACCATGCTTTGATCGTGAAATGACCAGAATGTGCCAGAAGACATGGCAAAGTAATTTTGCTTCATGATAATGCACCATCACACACTTCAAAACCAATTAAAAGACATGTTAAAAGATCTTGCCTGGGAAGTATTAACTCACCCTTCGTATTCATCAGACCTTGCTCCTTCAGATTACCACTTGTTCTGATCGATGGCACACGCACTTTCTGAGCAGCACTTCAAAACGGACGAAGTGGAAAATTGGGTCTCTGAATGGTTTGCCTCAAAACAAGAAAAGTTCTATTGGGACGGTATCCACAAATTACCTGAAAGATGGGGGAAAT